CATACGAGAAAATTTTATACTATTTAAAAGTCAATTACGCCCTTTTATTCATATACTCTACCACGTTGCTACCCTCTCCTTTTAGCACTTCTTTTTGTTTTCCTACACTTCATTTCTAACTTTTCTTCTACTTTCTACGTTCTATATTATAAATTTTTTAAACACTCAATTAATGTGTCAATAAAATTTAATTATTTTTTCCTTTTCAAAAAAAATACATTGCATTTAGTGTTGCTATAGTCACATCGACAACTTTACAGTAGTATTATTGCTGCTATACATTGCTTCATCTATTGGTTTGCTTATTTTAATACACATTGCTTCTACTTAGGTTCATTTCCTTCTCTTTGCAGCTTCCATCTTCACAACACTTACATTTTCCTTTTTCAAACCTCCTTCTTTGAACTTCGAGTGCATCATCCTCCGTCCTTTCTATATGGCAAGATCAATAATTTTATTATGTTTAGTTTTCTCGGATTGTAGTTCTATATTAAAAGTGTATGTTTTTTTATGAAAGTTTTCTCTTTTTCATTTTCTTAACACTTTTTTAATTTTTTTTAATTTTTCAGGAAGCGAATCTATTGAAACAAAGATGAACATATAGTTTTCTCTGGCTGTAGATCTATATTAAAAATGTTAGCTTTAACTTAAAAGTTTTCTCTCTTTCATCTTTTTAACAGTTTTTTTCACTTCTTTTATTTTTTCAGGTCACAAACCTACTGAAATAAAAATGACCAAAAATGAACACATGTGATTGTTTTAGTATGGTTTGTATATAAATTAACATTTTTATAAACATACTTGTAGATCTAAAAATATTTGACATTTATGTTTGGTGTATAACCCTTTTGATTAAAAGTTTTAATTGGATTAATTACAAGGGTAAAATCGACTTATCAACTACTAAATCTCTTTATATTGATTTGATATTAAATGCATCTGAGGTGACACATCCATATTTTTTATTGACATTTTATAATTATTTTTTTCCAAACAACCTTTCAATTTTCTATCATTAATACACCCTTTTAACAATTTTGTTTACCATTACTAATTCCAAAAAACGTAAATTATGCAGAATTGAAAAACAACATTCCATTTTTTAAAAGTAATTAATTATACTGCAATTCAAAAGACACATTGAATATTAAAAAGTCATTGATATTGTATTCCCAATGGAACTTTTGAAAAGAAAGATCACACGGGAATCATACAACACCTTTGTTTCTTCTTCAAAAAAATCATCAAACTAAATAGCTCAAAAACAACACTAAACAGTATTCAACAATCTCACAACTATTTGCTTCAACACTGTTGTTTCTTTTTTTCTGTTTCTGGTCAACCACCACGAACTTCATCCCACGAGATCCGCCACAAACCACTACGCCAAAACACGAAACCACATCGATCCAAACGCCGACTTCAAAAGTGCAGTTGTTGCAACCCACCTCAGAATCAGATCCGACAAGACTTCCCTTCGGCAACTCAAATCTCCTCACCGACAACTTATCCATTCATTTCCATTAAAACCACCACAATGACCATTTTCGATCACTGATCCGATTCACACCACCATTTTCCGATTTTGGTATTCAAACTTATTCTCTGACCATTTTTTTTACTGTTTATGCAACGTCTTTAAGTTTTGTTTTGCTATGTGAATCTGATAGAGATAAGGATTGAAATTCAGTAATTAAATTTAATCTCTCTGTTATAAATTCACATATTGTTATCGGTAAGTGTACAGATCTCTTCTGTGTTTAAACACAACTTATAATTTTACTCCGAACCTCAATGTAATTTAAGTGTTCGATGAAATGTCTGTGCTGATGATAGGATTTTCAAATTGCCAGGAAATAAAGAAAAGAGTGCACCCTCAAAAGCAACGAACTTCATTTTTTGAGTTGTTAACAACACAAAAGAAAAAAGGGTAAGTTAAACCAAAATAGAAGTATTGATTATTTTTAATGAAATTTAACATCACCTGAGTCACTGATTTTTTTCACTTTTTTCTCTTTTGTTCTGTTTTAGGTTTTGTTGATGTCACTCAAAGCTGGTAGTTTGGGCAAGAAAATTAGTTTTAGCTCTATTTGGTTTTGTTTATACTTGATACGATGCATACATCATGTGAATTTATAAATGAATATTCATTTTAGTTTTTGTTTTCAATTATCATGAATGTAGGACTTGATTATCTATAAGCTTTGGATGAGTGACATCATATTACCATCATGGTTTTATAATGGAAGATCACATCATTACTCAAATAAAGATTATGTATGTATGTCTTATCTTTTTTAATTAAACCAAATTGTTTTTCTATTCTTTCCCCTGAATTCTACATTTTTTTTTCGATTTGCATTCAACAGAAGAAAAAACAGGTTCATTTAGCAGTTGGTTGACATTCACTAGTTTTGTAAAGCATTTTCAATTTTTTTTCACATGAAATTAGAGATGCAGAAGATGGAAGGACCAATGATCACATTGAGAAGGAGTTTTTCCAGATGCTAATTGTTATGATGTGTGGGGTTACATGCTGAGAAAACAATGTAATTCAATATATGTTTGAAGGTAATCTATCTCACATTTCAATTTGTTCCTTTCTTTGTATTACAGTCAGGATCAACTAATATATTTGTGTGACGTACAGATGCTGAAATTTTCCCAATGATATTCAGAAAGGAGGTGTGAGTGATGTTTCAAGAAGACCTGAAATTGTCAAAATAGGAGATTTTTCTCGCGAGCCTGTAAACAGAGAAACCATATTAGATACAAATTGCAATGACATAAAATCCCATATCCCACTTCTAGAATCAGAGCTATCCACAGTATTGTACTCATTGAGGTCAAACACCAGCTATGTTACAATGTTGACGGTAAGTCTTAAATGTTACAGTATAATGAACTAATAATAGGGCGTTTATGTAACTTACTCCAATAATAAGTCAAGAAATAGAACATGATTCACACACTTCCTGAGATTCTCATGTACCAATTATCTTTATATTTTCACGATGGATGAGTGATTTTATTTTTTCAATGATAGAAAAAAATAGATATCAGAATTTGTCATCACTTATCTTTGTTAGGGAACATATTCTATGAATGATAAAAATTGGTACTTTAGGATATTTTACAATGTGTGTTATTTAATTGGTTAAGGAGTAAAGGAGTAGCTACAAGCTACCACAAATGTATGGTTGCTCACTATAAAGAAACCAGATCCTAGAAGAATGTTCACTTTTTATCGAAACGTTTTTCTTTCTTTGTCAAAATCGCTTTGAAGGCTTCCCTTCAGAAACTCTTAAAATAATTATTGATTTGTCTGTTGTATATTCTATAATATGAGTATAAGGACACTTCTAATAATCTTGAAAAACTTTTTGATGCTTGGGAATTTTAGGAGACTGAAATCATGAATGCTCAAGACAGACTATGCTTATTGCGTTCTAAGTTGACAGTGTTAGAAGGAAAGATGACATTGGCAATAATGTATCATCACAACAATCAAATAATTTCTTACACCAACACACAAACAAATAAATAATATTAGATACTATATTTCTAAATAATTCTTAACATTGAAACTTATATTAATATTAGATACTATATTTCTAAATACGCTTAAAACTATTAATTACCATTTATTTTTAAAAATTGAAGAAAAAATATGTTATTAAAACATTATTAATATTATTATATTATTTAAACAATAATAAATGTTTAGTTTTTGAAATAATTCATTTTTAAAAATGGTAATCATGAAAAAATTATGATAATAGATAAAAACTGATAGATATAAAAAAAGAGTTTAACGGATATGCGCTGTCATCCAATAGAAATCCATTAGTTTGATATGTCATTAAATTTTTTTAAAAATAAAATAGTGATTTAATTAGATACATAGTTGTGATTAGTTGATCGTGTAAAATCATTTTACACTGTCAGTGCATCATTCATTTTCTCATGATTCCAAAGTTTTTAATTACATTGCAATATATATTCATATGTCTCCAACACGTGTTTTAATTAAGGAATAAATTGATACAATACTGTTATATTTGAACATTTTTAAAATGGAAATTTTTATATATAAGTTCACTAATTTGACGTGTCATAATCAATTACTAAAAGTATGAATAATTTAGTTTTTCATTTTGAAAACATATGAATAAGTTCACTATTTTTCATTTTAAAATATGAATAATTTAGTTTTTCATTATAAAAACATATGAATGATTTAGTTTTTCAATTTAAAATATTTTTTTTACAAAAAATAAACTTATAGTTGTCTTCTCTATCTAAGAGAAGTCTTTTTATTTCCCAATTTAACAGCGATACATTGTTCATCATAATGAAGGTCTTTCTAGAGATAGATTCATGAGTACATGTGAACGTATCTATAAGATATCAATTGTATATTGTTCTTTTTAATCTTCATCTTTTAAAAAAAAATTTGGTGATGTTTTATATTAATTCACAATATACTTTATTTTGGATTAAATTGTAGAATATTTTTAACAAAATCACATTAATATTAAAGAATTAATATTTTATTGATCAAGTATATTCATCTAAAAATTCTTTTTATTTCTAATTTTATTTCTCAATTTAACAATTGTAGACAATTCATCGTAATGAAGGTAGATCCACGGGTATATGTGAACGAATATGTGAGATGTCAGTTGTAGACTATTCATTTTAAAGTCTATCTCTAAAAAAAAGTTTATTGTTGTTTATATAATTGAAGTTAGAGAATATATACAGTTTATTACAAGTACAAATCAATATTTAAAAGTTAGTGCATATTATTAGTCTATATTATTAGTACAATATCAACCAATTGAAAAGTAAATTCATACTTTATAAATAATGGTGTGATAGACATGTAATATGATTTCAAACGGGACGAGATGCCATAAGTTTCTTATTTTGAGGTTAAATTAACAAAGTTGTTCACAATTTCGCCATTATTGTTTATCTTCCAAGTTGAAGAAGCAATGTCTCTGTTGAGATTAACGTACGCTCTCTCTCTTCAGTCTTCCAACTTGTTTGTTATTCGATTCTTCTCTCATAGTCACAACCCTGTTGTTGTTGATGATGATGTTTTCTCATTCAATCGAATTCTCAATACAAACCTTACCCCTCCCATCTTTGAATTCGGTAAGATATTATCTTCCCTTGTTAAGATCCAACATTTTCAAACTGCTATTTCCCTTCCTCAACAAATGCAACTTCGATGAATTCGAACCGACATTGTTAATTTAAGCATCATGATTAACTGTTTCTGTCACCTTCATCAAGTCAATTTTGCATTTTCTGTATTCGCCAACATTCTCAAGCTAGGTTTTCACCCTGATACCATAACAATCAATACACTTATTTGAGGTCTTTGTAACAGTGGCAAGATTAACCAAGCCCTTCACTTTCACGATGACGTTATAGCTAATGGGTTTCAACTTAATCATTTTAGTTATGGAACCTTGATCAATGGTTTATGTAAAACAAGAGAAACAAAAGTTGCTATGCAGGTTCTTAATAAGATTGAAGGGTTGTTGGTTAAGCCGGACGTGGTAATTTACAACACAATCGTTGATAGTTTGGGAAAGGATAAACTTGTGAATGATGCCTTTAATTTATATTCTGAAATGATTGTCAAAGGAATTTCTCCCGATGTTATTACTTATACTACTTTAGTAAACAACCTTTGCATTGTCGGTCACTTGAAAGAAGCAATTGCTTTGTTAAATGAAATGTTGAAAAGTATCATCCCGGATGTTTGTACTTTTAGCACACTCATTGATGGTTTTTGTAAGGAAGGAGGGGTGGAAAAAGCTAGAGATGTGTTGGCTGTTATGATAAAACAAGGCGTGAAACCTGATGTTATTACTTATACTTCTTTGATGTATGGATATTTCTTGGTTAAAGAAGTGAACAAGGCTAAACACATATTCAACTCTTTTGTTCGAAGAGGAGTTGAACCTAATATTCACAGCTACAATGTCATGATTTATGGATTATGTAAGAGTAGAATGGTGGATGAAGCTGTCAGTCTCTTTAAAGAAATGCATTTGAAAAACATGGCTCCTGATACTATAACATACAATTCGCTTATTGATAGACTTTGCAAATCGGGGAGAACTTGTGATGTTTGGGATCTGATAGATGAGATGCATGATAGAGGTCAACCATTTGACGTGGTCACCTACAATATCTTATTAGATACTTTGTGCAAAAGCCATAATCTTGACAATGCAATAGCATTATTTACAAAGTTCAAACACCCGGGATCTAATGGTATATTCTGTGTTCTTTGCTTGGTTTATGTCATGTTTGGATGAGCAACTTAATTAGCCGCTTAAAACATAAGTAGTATGCTTTATGAACTTGCTTGTATCATCTTATTTGAGTTTATATAATAGCACAAATATTTGTATTATCTTATGATATCTTCTTAACTCAAGTTGTTTTTAACTTATTTTCATAACCTCACTACAATAGTTTATTTATAACTTTATAAAAATAGTTTGATTTTATTTTATCTTTTGTTATAGAAGTAGTTTATGCATCAACACTTAAATGATAAACACTTAACTAAGTTGGTCATCAAAAATATTGTATGATGGTAGCTTTTTTAATATTTTGATGAATGCTTTGGAGCTGTGTTGTTCATAGATTACTGGTAAATTTTAATATCATTCAATGAAGTTCTTAAACAAACATTAATATTGCCACTTATAAGCACATGCATTGTCACTGTCTAAGTACAAAAGAATAAATTGAGTTTTTGGTGTCTACATATGGAGAGGACAGTTGAGAGTTAAATGAACTCACCAATCACTTTTGTTAACTCTTCCTCTATATGTGCAGATTGGTAACATAAAAGATAGCTCAAGTCTATTCCAAATCAAAGCAAAAACCTCATGTTGAAGAAGTATAGGAAAAACCTCAAACTCAAGTATAATTTGAATCAAAGGAAGAACCTCTTGTTGAATGTCTATTCACTATTGGTGCACAAAGGTTAAAGATGAAAAATGAATATGGAAGAAGAGAGAAAGAAAAACGGTTGTATTACAATAACTTGTTGAGGAAGAAATTGTATATTAAAATCTCTTACTAAAACCCTAGTTACAAAGTTGTTTATACACAAAATAAACTACCACGTAGGTCCTAACAAAAGTAAACTTAATAGCTAATTTAAAATAAACTAGGTGTAATACGGTGGAAGAACTAACTTGGTTTTGTGTTTTATCGCAAATTTGCGGATAACAAGAGTCACATCGATTTTTCTTTTATCCAATAAGGAAAGGGTGAAAAGAACAGGAAAGACCTTCGAGAATTATCTTGAGTTCAGGGGATAGGTTATGAAGAGGGAATATGTTAGCATCCTTTTTATCCGTAGTTATCTACGGGCTCTTAATCGCTAGCTCACTTTGAAAATGCTTTGTGTGTTTGTTTGAAAATATTTTTAAAATGCCTAAGTACGGCAACTTTGTAATGATTCTTGTATAAGTTAAGAATGCGTACAAAGTGTTTGTTTTTAAAAATATTTCAGAGAAAGTGTTTGTGAAAAAGAGATGTTTTTGTGAGAAAGCGATTACGAGCTATCTACCTACTCAAAGATCTTTCGTGTTATTTCCCTCCTGTCTTAGATAGTGCTACCCTACCATTGGTTAGTAGGAAGCCCTATCGTTGGATGTGAAGGGACAAGCACATGCCATCGTACAGTCATAAAGGCAACTCGTAGGGGCGCTTTAGCAATTTATCGTAAGGGACTAAGATCCTTTACCGAAGGCAGCATCGAAAGGGTTATCGAGGGACAACGATCTTTTTAACCGATGGTCTTTGCTAAGGCGTCCCCACATTCGAGGGACATGATTGTTTTTATCTGAAGGCAAACAAGTGGGATTATCCTAGAGGTGAGTGTGTGAAAAGTGATTCAATTCAGTTATTTATCTTGATTAGGGTTTTCTATGATTGGTTTTAGATCTTTCCATACACGCCTAGTTACTATACAGTAATAAGGAAAGTGGTAAATTACAGAAAGTAAAGGTGCCGAAAGTAAACCTAAACTATTACAGGGCTTCGGGAGTAGGGGTACAAAACCATAAAATCTAGGGGAAAATAGTAAACCCTAATTAAGACTATTACAAACTGTAACAGTTACATAATTAGGAAAATAAGCTAACGCGAAAGTAATAAAGTGCGTGAAGATTGTAAAACAAAGAGAAAAAGAAAATTGTAAATCATTTTGTGATTGTTTGATGATTAATCTAAAAAAGCCCTAATTGATTTAAATTTAGAAAAATAATTAATTGATTAAAAAATTGAAGCAAGCTTAACTATGAAAGCATACTCGACATAATTTGTGTTAAACTGACTCATATGTTTGTTAAAATTATTGCTAACCACTTTGCTTCTTCGAATCTCCATCTCTAACCATCCATTTCTATTCCATAACAAACTTCGTTTTCAAAACTTGCATGTGCATCAAACAAAATTACTTTTTAAAATGTATAATTTTATCTACGAATAGACACTTAGCATCAAGGAGATATCAAAAATTGGTTTAATCAAAAACGATCATATCCAGGAGGCTCCTAGCTAGGGGAAAAGCATCTAAATAAAAACCCTATAATCGTAAGCCAGACTAATGATTGTAGTGGTATATCACATGAAAATCCTATTGAAAATGGGTGATCATTATGAGATTCAATCAACTCGGATCATGTTTCAAAGCGTTGTTCAATCAGAGGCATACCTTTCGAAGGGAAATTCCTTAATCAAGTTCAAATCACAACATGGTAGGACTCGGTTTCCTCTTTCAACAAATTCTTAAGACCCTAATATTCAGGGGGAAACCTTTAAGACTTAAACATTAGGGCAGTGTACATCAAGTTCATCTTACAACATTAAAGATCCAAGGTCCCTTTCATGCAATTTCAAGTACAAACTTTTCAAAGATTTAAATCTTGGGACAGTCTATATCAGGTTCATATCACATCATGGTTAGGTCCAAGTTCTTTATGAGGGTGCTTCCTCTAGATCCTAGAGATTGGGGGGTATATCTTTCAAAATTCTAATGTTGGGGAAACCAATTTGCGAGATTCGATCAAAAGGAGTTGGTTCAAAACAATTAATCAAGGGCAAATCATCCAAGAGTACCTCCTCCAAATTCTAGAGATTGAGGGCATAATATTTCAAAGTGCAGAATAATAGGGTTATTCATACTATGATCAAACTATTTCCAAGCTCGTATCAAGGAGAATCTCTTCCCATACCTGACATATTGGGGAAATATATCCCACAAATAAGCAAGCTATTTGCAATCCCCTAGTAGATCTTTCACCCACGTCAACAATCTTCAAGTTTAAAACAAGTATCAAGAAATCACATTAGCATCACGCCCTGCGATAGTGAGACAAGCAGCCTTAGCAACCCTTCTACACTTTAATCATCCACGACCCATCATAGGGGCATCAGTCAAAAGCATACGAGTCTGTATAAATCATTATCATGCATTCATTAGGCCACTTCGATCCAGAATCAAGCTATACCTATCATCTCATCCATCTTACGAATTCCGACAGAATGGATCTAACTAAGATCCCAATCTCAGTTGGAGTCAACCATTAAGCCCAATTCTCATTGGCACATCAAAAGTCCAACATCCATTGACGTGTATCCAAGTTACTCATTACATGCATTGGTAAATCATTACATACTACGCATTAATACTTTCATTTGCATGCATACATGACATATTATAGACCAAGACTTAGGACCCCCCCCCCCCCCCCCCCCCCCCCCCCCCCCCCCCCCCCCCGTAAAAAAATCTAGAGTCAATGTCCAGGGGAATCACTATTCTTAATCTACATGAAATCTCCAGCTAAGTCAGTAACATCTCTCTAACTATTCCTCCATTGAGTCTGTTGTACAAGTATTATTCGTCAAACTAAATTGTAAGCAGCCTTATGTACGATCGTTCAAGACGTGAGCAACCTCATGCATTTTCCATTAGCCTTAAGACGTGATTAGCCTCATGCATTTTCCATTAGCCTTAAGACGTGAGCAGCCTCACACATTTCTTTATTTGTGTTTCATAAAAATACGTGATCAACCTCATGCAACCTCATCCATTATTAACTCGTAGGCAGCGCTACGAAGCATGAGCAACCTCATGTGTCCATACGTAAGCAGCCTTATGTAAAAGTTACGAGTAACCTCATACTTTCCAATCATCTAATCGATGTCTCCTGGTGACATCACCAATATTAGCACCTTGTTGTCCGTTTCACCTTTCCAAGTTGATACTATTCTAGTAGCCCTACTGACGTTGGTGTAAAGCCCAGTTCTTGTCTGGCGCATTATTTAAAAACCCTAGTTCTAGTCTGGTAGCATGCCTTAAACAATGGTTTTGCATTTCAAATAACATGTGCATTTCATTTATCAATCATCGCATCATTTCAATTTATAACATTGTCAAGCATACATAACATGCATCATGCATACATCAAGCATAATCTTATCAAACATGCATACATACATTACATTCAATCATATATGCCCATGAAAAACTACTAAAAGTATCAAGGTATGCTTACCAGCTAAGATACACTTAATTTCAAATCCAAGCTTAGTATTATCCATTCATCTTGCTATCACTATAGCCACCTCGATTGAGAACAGACACAATCGTCAAAGGTACCACTATTATAATTTCACTAGGCAGCTTACCTACGATTCATATCTAAGGCCTAGTCATCACCAGCCTCCGGGAATTATACTTTCAACTATCAAATTCAAACTTTTCAAATTCAAACCTTTCAAAAATTCAACTTCATTTGATTATCGAGCCTTGGTTGAAAACAAACACAACCAGCATCATCATCGAAACTTCAGGTTTTAATCTCAAAACCTATAATTATTTATGCTAATCGAGTCTTGGTTGAGAATAGACACAATTGACGTTGTCCTTCCGAGTTCCAAATAAAAATTTCAAACTCACATCATTTATCCCCTAGGTTGTGATAAATATGCAAAAACTGCAATATAACTTATTCTGTTAGTCTCAAAACAGTGTAATGAATTGTCAGGTTTGTGTTATTTATCGTTTAGGTCGTGATAAACACATAAGCCCATCCTTGTATTATCTATTCCCTAGGTTGTGGTAGGTATGCTAAAATCTATAGTTCATTGTGTCAGTCTCTAAGCGATAATGAATTATCAGGTTTATGTTATTTACCCTCTAGGTTGTGATAAATACACAAACCTATCCTCGTATTATCTATCCCCTAAGTTGTGGTAGGTATGCAAAAATCTATAGTTCATTGTGTCAGTC